GCTTGACGGTCAGCTTCAGGGTCGCTTCCGTTACCAGACCAAGAGTGCCTTCGCTGCCAATAAAGAGCTTAGTCAGGTCATAACCAGCACTAGACTTCCGCGGTCGCTGCCGAGTCTTGATAATGGTGCCATCGGCGAGGACCACAGTGAGCGACAGCACCCACTCACGCATTGTTCCGTACCGGTAGGCATTAGTTCCCGAGCATCCTGTCCCGACCATACCGCCAATCATCGCACCGGGACCAGGGTCCGGAGGGAAGAAAAGCCCATCCTTGGCGATCTCCTCGTTCAACTCCTCCCATCCAACAGCGGGCTGGACAACAACATCCAAATCACGCTTGTGGAGCTTCAGAATACGGTCCATGCGACAGAAATCCACGCACACACCACCTCTCGTAGATGCAAAATGGCCCTCCAAGCTGGTGCCGCCGGAGTACGGAGTCACAGGGATAATGCGCTGGTGGCAAACCTTCATGATGCGCGAGACCTCCTCAGTACTTGACGGGTAGAGGATCAAGAAGGGCTTCTCATTCTCTTTCTGGGAATAGGAGGACCAATCAGATCCGGAATGCGATTCCAAGTCGCCGCTTGCAGTTGAGACATTTTCCTTGCCCAGAATCTCGACGAAATCAGCCCATGCTGCTTGGAGGTTGGAGGGAGAGACGTTGTGTTTTGGAGCCTCGATCTCGGAGAGAGGCGTTGTAGATGAGGAGGGGAGAGCTGCAGGCTTGATGGATCCGAGGTAGTAAGCACCAGTTGAGAAGAAAACCAAAGCTACAGCGCGATTGCAGATTTAGTTAGCTAATGACCTGGAGGAAAATGTAAGGGTATCTCGGCATCGCATACCGAAGACCAGGGCAGCAGAACGACCTCCAGGGGACTGGGTCTGATATTGGGCGAATTTCTCTTGCTCGGCGCGCTCGCGCTTCAGACGCTGCTGGGTGCTTTCGTATAGTTGACTCTTGAATGATGCGTTTTCCTTGGCTTGCTTGGCCGAAGCTGCGAAATGGCGCACGAGGCGAGGTGCAGGTCGAATCCGGAGACTACGTGCCCCTATTGTAAGAGCATTGAAGACCATTGCGGAAGAAGTAAAGCTATCAAAAGCTATCAAAAGCTATCAAAAGCTATCAGAAGAGAGAGAGAGAGAGAGGCGAGAGGTGGACGGACCGGGTTCCGGGGTCTTGGCATCCGGGCCGACACTTTTTTTTAACAGGGTATACTCAATTTAATAGTACAATAGTATACAGTATATTGTAGTGTATTGTAATATATAATAGTATCTTATATGGCAGAAATATGTCCCTTGTAAGTATATAATTCTAAAAAACTTCAAATATGTCACTTGATCATATAGTGGTCACATGGCTTGCCTCTGACCTCGAAACAAGAGAGACCGGTTAATATCGTCCGGCTAAAAAAGAAAGGCCGATCCACATCTCATCTCATCCGAAGTGGAACTCGTCTCTGCGGGGAGCTCTTGTCGGTTCAATTCACTTCGACTGCATTCTCCCGGTTCACCCTTTTTTTCTCTGAGTTCTTATATATTCTGTGTAGAATTTCTCTTTCTCTCTTACTTTCATCTCAATCCTTGTCGATCTCCTCGAAACTCCTATTGCCCCTCTAAACACATACACAATGGCCACATCTCAGGTAGGGCTCGAATCACCGTTGAGAATAAGGCAAACAAGTCTGACAGTCATGTAGAACCTTTCATTCGTCCTCCAGGGCATCCACAAGGTCAAGTTTGAAGACCGGCCGGTTCCCGAGCTGAAGAACCCCCACGATGTCATCATCAACGTCAAGTACACCGGTATCTGCGGCAGTGATGTATGTACGTTTCGGAAACCTTCATGGATCATAGACTAACCTATTCCTGCAACAGGTGCACTACTGGGAACATGGCTCAATCGGTTCATTTGTCGTCAAAGACCCCATGGTTCTCGGGCACGAGTCAGCAGGCATCATCAGTCAAGTCGGATCAGCCGTCAAGACCCTAAAGGTGGGCGACCGGGTTGCCATGGAGCCCGGCACCTCCTGCCGCCGATGCGAGCCCTGCAAGGCTGGAAAATACAACCTGTGCGAGGACATGCGCTTCGCCGCTACCCCGCCCTATGACGGCACCCTCGCCAAGTACTACACTCTTCCCGAGGACTTCTGCTACAAGCTCCCCGAGCACATCTCCCTGCAGGAGGGAGCGCTGATGGAGCCCCTCGCTGTTGCTGTGCACATCGTGCGCCAAGCCAGCGTTAGCCCGGGCCAGTCGGTGGTTGTATTCGGCGCCGGCCCCGTGGGCTTACTGTGCTGTGCCGTGGCGACTGCGTTTGGTGCCTCCAAGGTCATCGCCGTGGATATCCAACAGCAGCGTCTTGACTTTGCCAAGGACTACGCCACGACATCGACGTTCATGCCCAGCAAGGTTGCGGCCACTCAGAACGCCGAGCGCCTGAGACAAGAGAATGGACTCGGCGCTGGTGCCGATGTGGCGATTGACGCTTCGGGTGCCGAGCCCTCTGTGCACACGGGAATCCACGTTCTGCGCAACGGAGGCACATACGTGCAGGGTGGCATGGGCCGCAGCGAGATCCAGTTCCCTATCATGGCGGCTTGCTCCAAGGAGCTGACCATCAAGGGTAGCTTCCGCTATGGTAGCGGAGACTACAAGCTTGCGGTTGGACTGGTTTCAACCGGCAAGGTCGATGTCAAGAAGTTGATTACCGGCACGGTCAAGTTCGACCAAGCTGAGCAGGCCTTTATTGAGGTTAAGGCTGGCAAGGGCATCAAGACCTTGATTGCTGGTATTGATGTCTAAACTTCGTCATAGAAACGAAATATTGGGAATAAACGGGGCGTTTTATTATTATTTAGCAGATTTTTGAATGAGAGATGAATTAAAATTTGATATGCAATAAATCCTTGTCTGAGCGGTTAATAAAGTAACATATAGAAATGATCAAGGCCAACAGCGGGGGTATCGTGCAGTGTAGTAAACGACCAAATCGAAACAGAACAAAATAAAAATAAAAGATCCGTAGGGTGATGAAAATAATACTAACAGCACCCTTGATTTGGGTGATTTCCAGAGCCCAAACGGAAAACGTCCTCCCATTCCCTCATCCCGCTCTTCCAACTATGTCCCGTACCAGGGGTCTTGCCCTTTCGACGAGCCTTGCGCTGGAGGGGGACAGAATTATCATCCAACGTCGCCCGACTTCTGATACTCGAAGCGTCGCTGCCGCCATATAGACCTCCATCCCCGTACTGGATCCCGCTCTGCGGGTCATCGGGGTCGATCTCACCGAGCTCAATCTTGGTCAAGATAATACGCGCCAATCGATTAAAGACTTCTTCCACGCCATCCCCCGTCAGCGCTGAGATCTCTACGGCGACGGGGATATTCGACTTGGCAGCCCAGTGGGATGTCTCCTCGGAGCTAACCTCTCTGCCTTCCGAGGTACGGGTAGCAGTCAACCTAGTCCCCGTCCCCATCATGCTGGTCGAACGAATCGACCCATTCACATCCCACGGGATAGATGACTGCCTGCTGGAAGTACTGGATGGGGTCGGAGGCGGGCGGGAGTTATCATCGAAATCAGACTGGGCCTCGGAGGTCAGGTCGGCTTTATTCCCGGCCAGGATGACGGATAAATTCGGGGAAGCGAGGGCGCGGGCGTCCATGAGGAAGGTAGGAAGGGAAGTGAAGGAATTGTAGGAAGCGACATCGTAGATGAGGATTGCGCCTGCTGCGCCGCGATAGTATGACCTTGAAACGGATCTAAAGCGTTCTGTGCCTGCTGTATCCCAGAGTTGGAGTTTGATGCGTCTCCGACGCGAGCCCGTGCCAAGTTTCACGATGCGCGATGCGAATTCCACGCCGATGGTCTGAGAAGAAAGTACTCGCCCTGGAGAGAAGTTAAATCAGCGAGAGCGAGCCAGTGGGGAAATTGGAGGGTTGTACATTCGTCTTTCACGAAGCGGTGTAGTACACAAGACCTTCAAGGATCCGATGTCAGCAGATAATCTAAGCTATGTACCATATATATAGTGGTGTACTCACTTTCCAGCACCACTTGGTCCTAGGAGGATAACTTTGGCGAGGTAATCGTACATGCTCCCCAGTTCCTATGATTGCATTAGCCGGTTTCTAAGGGGGGAGTTGAGGATAAGGAGATTCATGTACCTGGTCTGAGACGGAGGAAGTAGAAGAGGCATTTGAAAGACCTCTTTGGCGTGCCATGAGAGAGTAGCAAGGAAATGAGTATTTGGGGAGATACGAAAGAAAGGTAGCTTTGATTTGGGGGGAAAGCTGCCCGACCGGGAGTGATCTCAACTATGAACTATTGATATTAACTATTAACTACTAACTAGTGTTATTTGATTATTCGACTATTACCTTTCCGAATTAAAATAGAAAGAACAGATATAGTCAAATGTTCAATGAGTTTGAGAATTAAACATTTGAAAGGCCTATAATTCCGATAATTTTCCTATGATCACTAGAATGATTTGTAGGATCAGACTCTCATTGCGGTTCGTATGTGGGCTTAGGTGAGGCTGATGTTACGGGGCGTAGAGTAGAATTATAGGTGAATATGGAGATATAGGTGAGCGAGGCTATGTACAATGTATACATAAAGAATAAAGACACAGCCTTGGATCTAAACCCCATGTGGAAAAGGAGAGCGCTACAATCATCGGCAACTTTATAGGCGAGTGGCAAGTTTCTAAGAGATTAATGGTTCTATACTGAATATTTGTCTATTACGTGTCTATTACATGTCTATTACCGGCCTATATGCCTGTATAATTATAAAGAGTATAGTTTCAACTCCAACTTCGTATTCCATAAGCCGCTAAGGGGCCCGAGGCTGATTTTGCTGAAAGATTAAAGGGAACCCTGAAGTCTCTGGAGTCGGGTCAGAATTTCGTCATCCCGTTACATTTCTCACTTCTCACTTCTCACTTCAACTTGACTCTTCACCTTTCTTCTCTCTACATTCACCATGAAGTTCACTTGGGCAGCACTCCTTCTACTATCCACAGTCACATCCCTGACCGTCCCTCAAACAGAGTCTACTGATCTTATTGAAGATGTGAACTCCTTAGATTCTGCCCACACAGATATTATAACTCTCGAGAAACGGCGTGGCGGTGGTGGAGGCCGAGGTGGTAGCGGTTCATCCGGAGGAAGCAGTGGAGGGCGCACTGGTTCTTCCGGTTCCTCAGGCTCCTCAGGCTCCTCAGGTTCAAGTGGCAGCAGCAGCGGAGGTCGCACCGGTTCTTCCGGTTCAAGCGGAGGCAGTCGCAGTGGTTCAAGCAATGTTGGTGGTACAACCAGTGGCGGTTCTGGCACTCGAGCAACCTACGGTGGAGGTAACTACTATGCCGGCGGTGGGCGAACTCCCTACAAGGCTGGCTCCCGGTCTCGTGGAGGCATCGCCCCCTACGTACTCGGTGGAGCTGCACTGGGCGTCTTCCCTGGTCTTTGGCTGTACAGCGCCTACGCCTACCCTTACAGCCACCACTACAACTACTACAACGAAAATGCCCACAAGAACGACTCGCTTCCCATTGTCTGTGTGTGCCAGGAGTATTCGGAGTGTGGCTGCGACAACAACAACAACAGCACCTACTACGAGTCCCTCTTCAACGGCACAGTACCCAAGAACTCCAGCATTGTGCGCGTAGCCGATGTGAATGGCACTCAGACCATCTACATCAACGGTACCTTGCCCAACGGTACCACGGCCGATGATGGAAGCTCGACCAATACTTCGACCAATACTTCCTCGGCATCCGGGCCTGTCGCGATGGTCCTGCATGCTAGCGGGTACTGGGTGACCGTTGCCGTGGTGGCGGCCGCCGTATGGGGATTCTAAATGCGGCCTTTTTTTTTTTTTTTTTGCTTTGCTTTCTGCTTTCTGACTGCCGGGTTATCATGACTCAGCCTGGCTGGTCTTGATGATGGGCTTGAATGCTATAATAAGAGATGATTGGGATGGGATGTTTGTTTGCAACTTTGATACCCTCGGTTTGGGAACTTGCCCTTGGCCTGTACAACAGTATTGATTATGTCCCATAAGCACTTTGCTTTTGATAATGTTAAGGCGATGAATTGGACTGGACTGAAAACTGTACATTGTAATAAGTTAAGAACAATGCAAAGCACAGAATGTAGTCTCAGGTTTCTACAGTAGGAATCGTCAACCTGAAACGTTTCAAGCTTGAAATTAGTAAAACTAATTCACATTCTCTTCTTTTGTCTTCCCTGCCTATTATTACAAGTCAATAAAATGCTATGACAGGGCACATCTCTTTTCCTATAATGTATATAGAATTGACATTCCAATGGTTGCTTGGGTCCTGCATCGATGCCTTGGAGCCTTAATAGCCTGCCTTGATGCCTTGGTACCTGTAACGATCCAAGCGCCTTGGAACCTCCCTTTTTCCTCTTTCTCTCAACTTGCAACTTCTCCTGTTCTAAACAGTGTCACTCTTTTGTTCTCACATTCTTTTACTATATTCACTCTTTTAACTGCTTTATTCGCAATTCACAATATACCATCCACAATTCTCAATTCTCAATATCATAACAACTTTGCAACAATGCAGTTCACCAAGGCTCTTCTCTTCCTCTCGGCTCTCGCGCCTGTCGCATTCGCCACTGAAGCTGCCTCAGCTGAGTGTATCACCAAGACCATCACTCTGGTGCCTTCCGGCTACACTCCCCCATCGTCCACCTCAACCCCAATCTCAACGACTGAAATTCCCTCGTCGACTTGGACTCCTGTCATCACTAGCACTCCCTCCCCTAGTGCTACCCCTTCTGTGAGCCGCATCACTAGCTCCACTCGCCTGATCAAGTCTACCAGCACCCCCGCCGGTGAGACTGCCTCGGCTACTCCTTCCGTCCCTGCTACTGCCGGTGCTGCCTCAGTCCACATTCCTGGTTTCATGGCTGGCGCAGTCGCCATTGCCGGTCTTCTCATGATCTAAACTCCATTTACTGGCTCATTTGAACGAGTGAATGTTTGAGCTACATCCCCCGCGATCTTGGTCTCGACTTTTGTCGCATTGCATCCAGTGTCAGCCTCGAGTATTTCAGGTCATTTAGAAAGGCCCCCACTTGATGCTTCCCATCTCTTCTTTTTTGGGATATTTTCTTCTCTACATATTCTTGCTTCTTGACATACTTTTTCTTTTAACCTTCCTACTTTCTGGTTACGGTGGCTTTTACGTGTATTCCGATTTTCCGATGTTTATACCCTTTTCTTCTACCTTCGATACTCCCCTTTTGATCTCATCCAAGCATTTTCTGTTCATGCTACTTTACTTCCTTTCTGTCTTGGTTGACTTTGGATTCTTTCTCTACATTGGTGCTTGCATCTTTGTGCTTGAATGTCATACTACTGTTTCTTACCGAGTGTAAGACTTACGGAGTTTATTTTTTTTTCTTCTGTGCAATTTACACAATTCATTGTCGCCCCATTTGACATTTTGCTTCATTCGTAATATTTCTTCATATCATGACTAGAGCGTTTAGTCTTTACATATAGTATAGATTCCTAGCTTCTCGATCAGAGCTTGCCTATGGCTTCATCTACAGCGTATACTCGACAAACAACTGGCTGAATCAAGCGCATCGATAATCGTGAATAACTTCGGAGAGGACTGAAACCGATCTTATCTACTACAAGGACCCCAAGAATGGGCACCAAAAAAAACCTATCGTACAGAAAGAAGAGCTATAACTAGCCTACTCTTTGGAGAAAGCAGCTTCGTATCTGTCGAGCAAGTTAGCCAACCTCCCTCCACTCAGCCAAAAAGTCACCACATACCTCTTGCCTCGGAAGGCCCACAATCCCCAGTTTCCACAAGAAACATCATGGGGATCCTGGTCATTCAGATCCCAGCGCAGACTGCGGAAGATATTCTCCCCGGGTTCAAGAAGCACGTCAAACTCCCCACGACACTTCTCACCCACCCACTTAATATCACGCTCCAGGTCCCACTGCGTATACCCAGTACAGATGATAGGAACCTTAGTCTCAAGCAGCTGAGGCAGCGTCTCCTCCCACTCATGCGAGCTAGCCGGGTGACCCAGGCCAGGATGGAAGAGCATAAAGCAATCCAGATAAGGATCAAAGGGCCCGAAATACTGAGCCTTGTTCATAGTGTGGAAGTAGTCCACGTAAGTAGTGATCTTCATCTGGCCACCGAGTCTGTCCTCGACGATGCCGCCAAAGGGATTCTCGGGCGTGCGCTCGGGAAGCGGATACTCTCCATCTCGATTCGCCATGCTCTCCGGCCCGATGAAGATCAGGTGCAACAGGGCGCGCGGGTACATGTACTGCAGCTGCAGCCAGACGTCGCGGGGGAGGGAGGACTCGGCGCGGGCGCCAAGGATGAAGATTCGCACCGGGGGCGCGTGCAGGCGGAGGCCTTTGACGTCGATGCTTTCGCCGGCTTTAGGGGGGTGGAGGGTATAGCGGAGGGCTGGGATTAGTTAGTTTGTTGTGTGGGTGGGTTGTAGAGGACACTGCTAGCAGATGCTCTGCTGCTGAAATATTATTAGGACTTACCACTCATACTCTTCAATCCCTCCGGAGTGAGCCGTCCACCGGAACGAACGCTGTACGGGCTAAGCTCGTGCAGGACACTGCCGATTGTCTGGGGGTATGTGAGCATGCGGGTAACCTGACGCATGGAGCGGTCGTCGTTGATAGCCGCGAATTCACGGGTGTACAGGTAAGTGTCCCAGTTAGTCATGTTGATAACGAAGTTATCATCCTGAGGACCGGGGTAATGGAATTCAGGGAAGAAGCGGCCGGAGTTCAGGTCGTGGTCGTCCTCGTTGATCTGGCGCAGAGTGTCACAGATCTCCAGATGAGCCTCGAAGTCGTCCATCCAGTGGCCCTCAGAGCAGTAGACTGGTACACCGCAGTCGGGGCACTCGAAGTGCGAATGGGCCGGGGGCAGGTTTGCCTCGTCGGTGCTTTTCCTAGCTTCGGGGTCATGCGGCGAGACGGGCGCCCGGGTCTGCTGGTGGCTTGGGTGGGGGCAGAAGGCATTCTGCTTGATGAACTGGGCGCGTTTGCGAATTTCTGGCGAGGGCGAGTCCGAGAAGGAGTGGAACAGGTTGTCAGGCTTCAAGACGGCCTGAATGTTATTAACCCGAGTGTTGACGGAGGAGCCGGTTGCCGTGTGAGCTGCTCGCTCCCCGAGGGGCGAAGGCGAGGACTTTGGGGCACAGCAGGACTGGCTGTGTGTGTGCTTTGGCTGCTCTGTGGAGCTGCCCAGCGATCGACTGTTGCGTTGCGAGCCGAAGCTGCGGATGAAGGACGGGGAGATGGGGCTTCTTCTCCGCGCGGTGGCGAGGCTCTGCAGGCGAGCCTGGGAGGCCGAGGCCCGGACTCCTTGACGGAGGACCTGTAGGCACTGGACACAAGTGTATCCTGCCATTGCGATGTCAATTTGTTGTGGAGGGGAACTGATCAGACCACGGATGGCTCTGGGGATGTTTTTGCGGCGACACGTGACTGATAACAACCATCTATGGACTAAGATATCTTCAACTTTGGCTTTGAATCGTCTGTTTTGTTCTGTCAATTAAGTGGATTTTACCTAAAGATATCCCATTTACTATTTTATTTCTACTCAGAGGAGCCCGGGGATATGAGAAAGCTATCCAAAGAATTGATTCGTTTATTTATGATAATCGGGAGTCTTGTACAAACCGGCCACGCGAAAACAACAAGCCAATGACCTCTCAGAAGATATCTTCGGATCGACTCCAATCATGCGATTCCCTGGACTCCCAGTATTTCCCATTATGAGCCCAGAACCCCTCTCCGGTAACAGCACACTTGTCACGGACGAACCATTGCGGTTCATAGACATCGCCGTTGGCATCGCGATCCCTGCGCTTAGCACGCTGCTTCTCTTCAACACGATGCTTCTCATCAGCAGCCAAATCATATTCACCATCTTCCATAGCACGCTGATCGGGTCGAAGTCTGGTATCGGTGGGGGGTAACCACTCTTTCAGACCCTCGGGGAGAGCGTTAAGCGTGATGACGAACGGAGTCAGGTTGAAAGGTATACCGGTAGGACGAGCATGGGCCTGCCAGACTAAGAAGGTCTTGGCAGACTCGGGATCCTGGCCGGAGACAGGTGCCTCAAAGCCGGGGGTGTGGCGCGCGTAGATTTTATCGTTCCAGCGGCCACCAATGCTCCACTTGGGGGAGCCTTCGCTATCGACGACCTTTCCTGTCACCTGGTAGGCCGAGGAGGCCTTCCAGCCACGGGGCTTGAAGTCGAGGTAACAGACTTCGCCGGTGGTCCAGTTCTTGATTTCCATCATACCGTAGTTGTCTACTGTAGGGTTACCAGTGATGATGCCGATAACCGACGATGTCACTTTCTTCCAGGTGTAAAGTTCCTCTCCGCCGGAGGAAGGTCGGAGCTTCAGGAACCATGTGCCCAAAAGGTTGATGTCGAAGGATTTGCCGTAGAACTTGGACTTGAGGGAGGATTCACCCTGAATACGTAGTTTGAATTAGCGCCGCTAACAGACAATGGGTTACGAATACCGCATGCACTTACCCAGTAGTCCCATTTGGGAGATTCGGCCCACGCAGCTCCAATCGGTGGGTGGTGGCTAACTTGCTCCACAAAGAATCGATAGCCCTTGTCCGGACGCACGTACTCGAATGTTTCACCCAAAAGGGGGTTGAAGGGCTTTGCGACACGCCCAATGGTCGAGGCATACTCACTTGCGGCATATGTGGCGACGTAGACCAGGCGTTCCATTGAATCGGATCGACCAGCAGCGATGTCAAGGAGGTCAGTATATTCAAGATCCTCAGCCACTCGCTGAAGTAGTGAAGTTGGTTCGTTGAAGGACACGGGGAGAGTCATTTTTGTCATGTCCTTTCCAATCATAGATTTCAGAATACTCTAAACAGTAGTTAGCACCGACAAAGAAAGAAAGAAAGAAAGAAAGAAACACCGTAACTTACCCACAAAGAGATCTTTGGCCGATCATCAGCATCCATCTTAAGTCGCTCTCTAACGGGATCTTCGTAGCCCCTAAAGGACGGTGCAATGATGGTACTCTTCACAGCCCGAAGCTCAGCACTTTCATCTTTAGGTTGTTCCATCTTGTTCTCCTTGGCGTTATTGAAATCCTCTATCTCGATTTCACCAGCATCAATAGCATCAAAGAATTCTTCTCCGTCCGATTCGGAATCACAAAGACTGCTGAGCTTGGAATATGTCGATGGATTGCGAGTGGGCGCGGGTTTCGTGGATAGTTGCTGTGTAGTCTGGTCTGTTTCATCTATCGTCTCGGCAACCTCACCTTCAGTTTGGCTAACCTCAAGATCTTGGTTCTCTGTTGGCGAATTGGGTTGAACACCGGCGATAGAACGGCTACTGCCGGTTGCGCTCTCCAGAGCTTCTTTCAGGGCCCGCTTGGTCCGCTTCCGCTTCTCCTCAGACTCGCCCATCTTGGATTGTAGCTCCTCGTGCTCGCGGGCCACGCGGGCCATGCTTTCTTCCCACATCTGGCGAATGGACTCCTCTCTACTGAGACGAGATTGCCAATAAGAGTCTCGGTCTCGTGAGATCTTGAGCAGATTCTGTACTAAACCTTTGAGGCTGCTGACTGCAGCTTCATAAGCACCGAGAGCCTCTTCGAGGGCTGGATCCGAGACCGTCATTTCCGGATTCTTGGATTTCTCGGTCTGTATCGAGGCAGCCACATTTGCAAGAAGATCCAACTGAAGCCTCGCAGATTGTGCGGTGATATTGAGAGCATCTTTATCAGCGGCTGGCATCTCATTTTCGTGGCTTGAACCATAGTCGACAAATTCTTCATCCTCACCCTCTCCGTCCGGCACAGTTGTGACATGACTCATTACTCTGTTCATATCGTTTGGAGCAAGAATCTGGTCATAAGAACCGCCATAAGCGGAGCTATCTTCGTCTCCAGC